TTTGAAGAATTTTGTGAGAAATTAGAAAAAATGAAAGAAATCAAGTTCTGGGACATTATTTGAAAGGACTAAAGATCAAGATTGTTAGGAGTAAAAGCAAAGATTCTACAGTTGTTTTGATCAAGGTTTGCCAGAAATAACATATTATTATTTTTAGTAACCTTTAATGGACTTTTGCTGACCTCCGGATAGAAATGATGAGGCTTTAAGGGAAGGATGGTTCCATGTGAGTAGCAGGCATGAATATGTGCACGCCCAACTCATTTAAGGGGGAAATCAGGAGGACTGTTAGAAAGTGGAGCAAGATAGCACCTGAGCTTTGGTGTGAGGTTAAAAACAGCAGACACAGAAACTCGTTGAAAGAATGGTGAAATAAATCATTTTATTTGTTTAAAAATATTTGATTCTGCATTCAAAAGTGACTCTGCAGGAATTGAAATGCTTAACCTTCAGCTTTTGGTGAGGTGGTTAGATAGACCCATGCAGCTTTACCTAGGGCCAAATGGTTTTGCTGGGCTGCATGTTCCTCTTCATGGACTAGGCAAGGATTTCCCCATTTTTGAGCTGTAAGGTTCCAGCAGGTTTTCTTTAGTCATTTTGGTTGATTGGCTTCTACCCATTTGGTCCATGTTGATATGGGACTGTGGAACACCACTAATATTCATACATTCTTTTACCCACAGGATAAAGTTCATATCCCTGGTGCTATCTACCTCTCAGTCAAATTTGACTCTCAGTGTAATACCGAAGAGGGATGTGATGAGTTGGTCATAGCCAGCAGCTGTGACTTCATCCATGATCGACATACATTCAGCGGGCCTCCACACAAATGGACTGATTTTGAACTTCCAGGTAAACTACAAAATATTTCTTCAAGAAACCAATTATCCCTTATTTTGAAGATTCATGTCAGAAGTAACAGCATAACAGAATAACAGAGTTGGAAGGCACATTGAAGGTCTTATAGTCCAACCCCTCTGTTCAAGCAGGAGGACCCTATACCATTCCAGAAAAAGGACTGTCCAGTCTCTTCTTAAAAGTCTCCAGTGATGGAGCACCAACAACTTCTAGAGGCAAGCCGTTCCACTGGTTCATTGTTCTCACTGTTAGGAAATTTCTCCTTAGTTCTAGTTTGTTTCTCTCCTTGATTAGTTTCCATCCATTGTTTCTTGCCTTGCCTTTTGGTGCTTTGGAAAATAAGTACCCAGTGTTTTGGGCCCAGTGGATACATTTTGAAATTTTGAAAAGATGTTATGACAATTTTCAGAAAATGGCTACTACACTGGACATGGGCAGTCAAAAACATTCATGTATCAAATATTAATTGGTGATATTAGATGCTCTTAATTATCACAATTGACCTTTGTCTTTTGAGAAGCAAGTGGACACCTTTTCAAACAAAATATTAAGTAGTATACATTCACTGCTTGTAATTTCTAATACTGCCTCTGAAATGCTTGTAAGAACTCAAAGCCATAAATAGGAATTAGATCTATGTATTTTGCCAAAAATGTCCTGATTGGGGCAAAAAAAAAAGTCCATTCCTGACAATGGGTTCATTTAACGACCATACTTAGTTTGATGTACACCCTGTTCTACCTCTCTATTCCCTTGGTTTTTTTTGTAGATTGGAAAGAGCCTTATGGAATTCTCTCCTCGTCCTTCATTTATTCTTTATAACATTATTTCCATACTAGTGCTAGTCTGAATTCTATCATGATAAGAATCCTGATAAAGTCTGTCTTTATAAGTGCAGAAGGATTGCTGTTAGTTTTCTTTGTTTTATTTAAAAACTATATTTTACTGCATCTGTGTAAACCAAGGGAGCGGGGAAGTAGGCCTTTCAGATTACAAAGATAATGTGGTTTTTCATTTTTTTACTAAATATTCCTACTCCTGTTTTAGCTGTTACTAGATGCTATGGAGCCTATCAAATGGTTTAAATGGCTGATTTGAGTGTGTGTTGTCACCAAGCTTGTGTGTGTATGTGTGTTATTATTTTATTTTTATTTTATTAATTTTTTGTCATTGTGTTTTTATTTGCCTGTAAGTCGCCTAGAGTCGCTGTGAGTGAGTAGGCAGCTATATGTGAGTGAGTAGGCAGTAAGAGCCATGATGGTTTAGTTGTTAGAATGCAGTACTGCAGGCTACTTCTGCTGACTGCCGACTGACTGCAGTGGCAGTTTGAATCTCACCAGGCTCAAGGTTGACTCAGCCTTCCATCCTTCTGAGGTGGGTCAAATGAGGAGGACCCAGATTGTTGGGGGCAATAGGCTGACTCTGTAAACTGCTTGGAGAGGGCTGTAAAAAGCACTGTGAAGTGGTATATAAGTCTAAGTGCTATTGCTATATAAATTTTCTGAAATAAATACACAAATAAATAAATAAATTTTGATTATTTTAATCCCATCATCTTAATTAATTCCAATAAATGAAGGATTTTTTTAAAAAAAGAATGACTATATAAAGCATTTTTAATACAAATTCTTATGAAAACTACAAATAGTAAAAATAGTAAAAATTACTTTCATACACCTGTAAGAGGGAGACTCATACACCTGTAGGAGTCTCCCTCCTACAGGTGTATGAAAGAAAAAGGCCTTGTCAAACGGGTCACGTCAGGCTGTGTGAGAGAATCTTTCCTTCTTCTTTGACAGGAGATATGCTGTACTACCGATTCACCACTGACATGAGCAATACTGAGTGGGGTTACAAGTTTACAGTAACAGCTGGTCACCTGGGGAGATTCCAAACAGGTCAGTACTGCTTAGGTCACACCTTGTATTATTGCTTAGTGGGTATCTTTACGTAGGGATACTAAATAAAATAAATAAATATGTACATTGAAAACGGAAGAAGATCTAATTCAGTCTCCTTCCAACAACATTGGGAGTCACTGTCCAAACACATCTAGATAGAGGAAGTCAGGGGGCTGCCCTAAGCAAATAAAAACAATTACCTATCTAGATTATTTTAACTTTATGAAACCGCTTTTCTAATCTCCTCAATTATCTGTATGTTTTTCTTAAGCTCTGTACACCACCTTAGTTATGAGCTTTTCTACGGATAAGAGTATAGGATTAATTAAAAAGAAGAATACAGGGACTTAAAAGAACGCATATAGAACGCATATAGAACGCAGTGTGCTTATATTGAATTTCAGGCTTTGAGATCTTGAAGCAAATGCTGTCGGAGGAAAAGGTAATTCCTCATATTCCACTTGCGAAAGTTTGGGAATGGCAGGTGGGCGTGGCCTGCAGGCAAATTGGACACCAACGATTGAAAGCCATCCACTTGCTCTTGAAGATCATACAGTGCAGCGGTGAGAGGTACACGTTCTGATCCCACCTTTGTTTTTCTTGAGGGAGTTCCTAGTTCTTGTGTTTTTGCAGAAGACTCATAATCCACACTACTACTGTATGTTGTGTCATCCTATGATTTTTGAGGGCTGTGTATTTCCATTTTAAACGCTTTGTTTAAGTTGGAATTGAGAGTGTAAAAAATTGAGTTCTCTCCGTTCCAAAGTATAAACGGAAGAAATAGTTTTGTCTCACAAGTGGTTACTTAGCTTTTTTCATACTTCTTTCTTCATAAATATTGACCTGTTTGTTTTTCCAATGAATCCAATGGAAAGTCCCTCCCAACCACTCTCAAGGCAGCACTTAAATTTCTTCTGAAGCCTCTACAGCAGGGGTGTCCAACTTGGCAACTTTAAGACCTGTGAACTTCAACTCCTAGAATTCTGGAAGTTGAAGTTCACAAATCTTAAAGTTGGTAAGGGTGGACATCCCTGCTCTACATAAAGTCCTCCCCCCCACATCATTCTCAAGGCAGCACTTAAATTTCTCCTGAAGCCTTTACAACAGGGATGTCCAAATTGGCAACTTTAAGACTTGTGGACTTCTCCCAGCCTTCTCTCTTCTCCCAGCTGTTGGCTTGCCTTGCTCAAGAGACAATGCATAACAGTGAACTTTATGGGCTATTCACATGACCAGAATGGTCAGAACTTTCCCCCTTCTGTTCCTTTTTCCTTTAACTTAGCACGGGGGCCATGATCAGCAGGCTCATGTAACCTACTCTCTCAGAGGATCATTGCAGTGGCTGAGGCCAAGCATGGAGACTGGGCCTAGTGGTGCAGCAGTACTCCTCCTCATCTCACCGTGGTATTCCTTTCTGTGTTTCTCCATTCCTTTCTGTATTGCCTTGGGTTGCCAGCTGGCACAAGTCACAAGGACTTTGGGGGCAGAGTGAAATATCACCAGTCTGCAGCTCAGACAGAGATACACCACCACAGTGGGCAAGCACCATTCTGCCACACCTGTAGGGGGATTCCTGCCTGCATCCTAAGGAGAGATGTAGAACCAGACAGCAAGGAGCAAGGAAGTAAAATCATCCTTAGATAAGGAACATGACCAGCAATTATTCCCCAGGTCCACTAGGCTTAGTCAGAAAGCAGGGTTGTTGTTTTTGTACAACTATACAGGGACATCTAGACATCGGTAGGCTTGAAAGACTCAAAATCATTTGGCCCTTCAGATGCCCTAAAGGTTCTAGCCAGAAAAATAGGCAGGCACCTCGGGATTCCATCCCTATTTGCAGCCAGCTGGCTATGTGTGGTTTTCACTCCTCAGTGCATTATTTCTCCTGCATCTCTTTCTCTAGCTTTGCAGTCTAATGCTGACAAAAGTACTCTTATTTCCTTCAAGAAGAGATCTTGAGCCCTGCCTTCATGACAAGTGGGCAGAAGATGCCTACTATCAATTGCCCCAGCTCCATTGTGGAAAATGAACATTTACACTCTAACTTTTTAGTGTGGTTGTGTGTAAAGCTAATGCTTGGATTCCTAAGAACTACAGGGATAAAATGGCATTCAAAATAGTAACTTGAGATATTGGTATGTGAACGTAAAACAGTGGTCAGTGGTCGTGCCAGTTGCAGAGCGCTGCCTTTCATGCTAATTCTAACACACCTTTTCCCCCCCCAGGGACTGTGATCTCACTTTGCTGAAGCCACTGTGGCATCTTTTCAGCCACATGGAAAAAACCATGAAGTATGAAGTCACTAAGCCAGGGGTCCTTCTTCCACTCCACCGGGCACTCACTGAACTTTTCTTCGTTGCTGAGAGCAGAGTTAGTGTAAGTCATTTGCTTTTCTTTGTTTTGCAGACCACAAAAGTGTGTTCTATATTTTGCTTATGAGCCTCACTTTTTCTGTTTGCAGGAACTTGGGTCTCTGCAGGATTACTTGCTTGCCTTAAATACGGAAGACCATCTCTACCACTGTACAGCCCAGGTAAGACAGCCTGTTCCTCCTGTTCTAAAGCTCCTCTCCATATGGGTGAAGTACTTGGAAGAGTTTGAAATGGGTTCTGTGTGAAGTCCTTTGGAATGACTACATTGGCATCAGGCCAGTGAAACCAGAGACATTGCTCCCAAAATTAGCTCAAATACTATAATAAGAAAAACCAAGTGTTTATTCTATTATCTTCTAAATCCACTTTCTCTTACTGGGGAAAGCTGGTTTTGAAATTCAAATTAACATGCTGAATTCAACCTGAAAAAACTTAACAGCCAGTGGCATTTCCTGATAGTAAATGCAATGTTTTTTTAACTATCTTTCTGCTTTTTTTTTTATTGTTGGTTTGTTTGTTTGTTTTAACAGGCCCTGAAAAACATTGCTGCTATTAGTCTTGCCATTAACTATCCCAACAAATCAACAAGTCCCTGGAATGTCTAGACTTTCGCTGCTCAGAATAACTTAAGTTCTTGTCCAGAGAAACTTTGGTGCAGGCGTTTTCGCTCGGTTCATGAATCGGAGAAAGGCAGAGGCCCCTCTTGCTTCAGTGTATGTGCACTCTGCAGCCAGCCAACCTTTCTTCCTCCCCAACCTAGATTCTGCAAGAGCAAAAGCGCACATCTGGGGAAGCAGGGAGAATTCCCTGGAGCACTTCTGGTGCCATCAAGAGTTATGTATGCACTTCATATCTTTGGAACAGTATTCACCCTCTGAATCTTGGAAGAAAAAAAAGGCAGGGAAGGGGGGATGAAGTTCCCCCAAAGAAGGAGAACTCAGGTCATCTTCTGGCAGTCATCACATCCTTCGGTCATCCTGGGCAAACCCTCTTCCCAGAAGGCTAATGAGCGAATGAACTGGAATTAGCAAGTAGCAGCCTGTAAATGCCTGAATGTGGATGGAAGAAGCAAGATGTTTAAGAGGGTTTCAGGCTACAGCATGGCAGAAAACTGAATTGCTGCCTTACACCCTTTTTTCTTTTGAGATGTGAGCTCCTTTCCTAGCCAAGGGGCAGCTTCCAGGATCCAGATCAGTTCCTACAAATGAGTAAAAAGAAAGAATGTATTTTCCGGGAAGAGCAGGGTAGATTTTGTGGACAGTTATGGAATGATAGTGGTGGGGTCCGAATTCCTGGAGATGTCATACAATAAAATTTCCCGTGGCCTGGAATTTACAGTATTTGCTCATAAGAAGGCAAGAGAAAGGAAGGGGTTTTCCCCCCAATAAGATCACATTGAGAAGAGAGCAGGAGTGCAACAGGGTTTTTTCCCTCCCCCAAAATCCTAGGAGTACTGTGGTGTAGAGAAAGTAAACTACTTCATCTTGCTTTTCACAACAGTAACCACAGAGCTCCTTCTGAATTGGGAAGACATAAGATCTCAAAAATGAAATAAATAGGCTTTAATTTCTCACCTCAGGAGGGAAAATATCAGTGCAGGGTAGAGGAGATTTTGTTGTTGTTGTTGTTTGGTCCTCTCCCAGGACAACTGCATGGAAAGCTAGATGCTTCTATGTGGAAACCATATATTGCCAGCTATATATTCATATTATTATCAAGCTTGCCAGTCATCAGTTGTGCTTCAGTATGTCTTTCAAGATTTTCAGAATCCAGAGGAAACTGGAGGATCTGAACATTGTGATGGCAAATCAGTGTAGGGAAACACATCGAATATATTGCTCCTGCTGAAGCATTAAAAAAAAAAACCAGTGTTTTCTTTATAAAATAAAGATTTAAATATGGTTGATCTTTTGACAGCGAAATAAAAAGATTCAATGTTTCTCAATCTTAGCAACTTTAATGTGTGTGGACTTCAACTCCCAGAATCCCCCAGACAACAAGGCTGGCTGGGGGATTCTGAGAGTTGAAGTCCACACATCTTAAAGTTGCCAAGGTTGCAAAACCCCAGGCTAGATATAACTGCTGAAGATGATGCTAGGTGCTTGCATATTGGTCTTCATGATTGTGCCAAGGGGCTGGAGCTTTCCTGGCTTAAGCAATACACTATAGGGAAAGTGGAGAGTACTTGACTGTTTACAATGGCAAGTGTCAATCAATGTAGAAAAAAACCTCTAACTCTCTTCTCTCTCATCTCTCTTCAAAAGCAGAAGCCATAACCAGCACAATCAGCTTTTGGCCAGGATGCATTCTCTCACAATCAGATTATCTATAAAGCATCCATAACAGGAGAATGATACCTGTTGTAGCAAAGATATCTATTGTCTTCCGAGCTGTATATTGAGACAAGCTATGGATCAGGTGCAGCTAGAAGGGAAGCATTTTCTGAAGGCTATTTCAATGATAGTTGTATCCAAACAGGCCAAAAATCCATTATGAGAGCAATGTTGCTCCTGTAAAAAATAAAATAAAAAAGTCCGTCACAATTTTTAAAAGACAGGGTTTTGATGGATAGCTTGTTGAAAGGGGAAAGGAACTCATGACACCTGGAGTCTCGGCTTATTTTTCTCTCTCCTCTAAAACAAACTTGCAAATTTTATTCATGGGACAGCATGACCTGAGACCTGTAATCAACAGCTTCATGATTTCAATTCCTCCTGTTTCTGTTTGGCTTATAATGTGTCTCTTTCTACATAATCATATGAATATTGAAAAGAAAGGAACTGTTATACCTTGCTTATTGCTTTTCCTATGACCAATAAGAATTGTGAAGCTAGAAAAGATTGAATCCATCTTTTGTTCTAATCTCTGTACAAGGAATTTACTGGGTCACCGCTGAGCATGAACATAAATCATTGCCTTACATTGATTGCTCTCTTATTTTTTCTCACAGGGAAGAATTATGGCCTTTGTTTTAGCTAGCGTGAAAGATGCACATTATACATTGAATTTAAGACAGTTAACAAACATTGCAGTTCATTATCTGTAGTAGTTTCAAATGAATGCAGAACCTGAGATTTGAAGGGTGAATGGGGAGAAGAAAACAAGAAACGTGCCTACAAGTGATTTATTGTGTATCTTAAATTGCATCCAACATATCGAGAGACTATTACCATCCTAATATAACTTTATTTTCCCAACATAAAACTTAAATGTTAGTAGTCATTAATTTTCCTACATGCTTATTTTTTGGGAGGGTGGGAGGGGAGGTGGGGTTCAAAAAAAAATATTTTGTTTGGGGGAGGATAGTCTGTTTTAGTTTAACATAATTAAAATCAACTTCTTAGATTTATTCCTGTTTGGCTTAATATCTATTTAAAAAGAAGTTATAAATGCGATGAATATATACAAATGAAGAGATATATTGTAAAAAATTATATTAAAAATGGAAGTACCAAATATGTGACTGATCATTATGTAAATGTATTTGTTGACAATCAACAAAAAAGTGTTTGAATTGTAGGAATTTCAAATAAATGTTTTGGACTACCAGAGCTTTGAGTGTAGCATCCTTCTCCAAACTGATGTCTTCTTGGTGTGTTGAATTAGTTTCTATCTTCCTCATCCAGTGTGATGGGAAGTATATTTCAACATATTTAGAGGGCATCGGGATTGGAAAGGTTAGTCTATAGAGAACTGCTTTATTCTCTCATTTTCCTTCAGCATTGACAGATTCTGTCTTTGTCATATGCTCCGCCATTTCAGTGCCCTCCAGTGTGTTAGAATTCCCATCCAGAACTTCCAGCTACTCTAGGTTGGTCGGCTGGGGAATTCTGGGAGTTGAATTCCACATATTTGAAAGGCTGCCAAGGTTGAGAAACACTGTTAAAGATGATCCACCAGTACACTACGAAACAGGCTGATAGTCACATCTGCAGCTTTGGTCAGCAGACAAGACTTGTGAATTATTTTGATTGCAGGACCTGATGTCCTACTATGCCACTTCCTCATGATTGGAGAGAGGAGCTTTCTGGGAGAGATAAACAAATAACACTGAAGGTATTCCAAGAATACAGTGTATAATTCCAGCAGGATCAGCACCTCCAGCGTGAAGGTGATCCCAACTGCCCAGTTAAAGCAAATAGGCACCTATATCTGATGACAGCAGTATTATAGGAAGATGCTGAAGGCAGGTGATCACTTTAGTAACAACAGCAAAGACAGTCATACTGTGTGGGAGAAAGCAATGATGAACTATTTCTGCACTTTATCAAGAAAGGCAGATGGACAGACAATATAAAGTGGTTGACAATATAATGCCAGATGATAAAACTTCTCCGGTCACATGGCAGTATTACTACTGAGGAAGAACTGAGAATCTTTCTACTAGTGTATGACACAGCTACATTAAAGCCTTTTGGATGTCTAACTTGTGATGTTGCCATACTAAAACAAAAAACAAAAAAACCCTGCAGACTTATATGGGAACATGGAAAATAAGAAAGATGAATATGGGAAATCTCAACACATTCAAAGATTAAAGGAATCAACTACGCGGTAACATCTTGGGTATCCGAAAAATTGAAATGGACTAGAATCAGAAACTTTCAGTCAGTAGATCATACTGTTTGGTCTTTGGGACATGGAAACAAGAAATTGTGTTGTTTTCCTATAGCAAAAACAGTACTTGGATGAAATGCAGTCAGTCAGCAGATAAAATCAATTAGATTTCACAGTCCTTTAATACAGCATTTCTGAACCTTATGAACTTTTAAGATGAGTGGGCTTCAATTCCCGGAATTCTCCAACCAGCGTGGGTGGGTGGAGAATTCTGGGACTTGAAGACACACATCATAAAGTTCACAATGCTGAGAAACCCTGCTTCAGTAGGATTATTATCCAAGCTAATGCTCCAACAGATGCAGAACAGAAGGCTGAAGAATTTCATAGTCAAATTTAGTCTGAAATTCGTAGTCTAAACAATGCAAACAGGACGTGCAGTGGTAGTTGGAAGCTGAAGTGGGACAATATGGCTTAAGTAACAAATGAAGCAAGATAGTGACCATTTCAGGCAATCCAATAATTTCTTCATTACCGATGAACATTTTGCAAACAACATGGACATCCCCAGAAGAAGCATACAGAATCAGGCTGACTATATTATTGATAACAAGGATGTGGAAGTGTTCAGCTAATTGGGCTGACTGTGGAATGGATCATGAACTGCTGATATGCAAGTTCCAAATCAAGCTGAAGCCGAAGAACAAAGCCTGTGAGTTTCCACAAGATCTTGAGTGTTATTATGTTCATCATTTTCAAAGAGAAACTCTGAATCACTTTGAAATCCTGATCCTCATTGATAGGGGAGCAGATAGGAAAAAGCGTCTGCCACAGATCAAGAAAAAAAAATTTGGATATCAGAACAAACAGTGGAAAGTGCAAAGAGGAGAAGGCAAAGCCAAGAAAGATAAAGATCTCAGGAAGGAACCGAACAAAGAATTTTCAGAGAACCGTTAGAGGAGACAAGAAGCAGTATTATAATTAAATCGTAAAGATATCAAAAAAGAAAACAAATGCAGAAAAACAAGGAGAATTTTCCAAAACATCTCCAGATTTGGAATCACAAAATCATAGGGCTGGAAGAGGTCTTCTAATCCAATCCCCTACACAAGGCAAAAGTCCTTATGCTATCCCTGATAAATAATTGGACAATATTTTCATGAAAACCTCCAGCAGTGGAGCATCGGTAATACCAGGAACCTGTACTATGCTGATGACATTACTTGGATTAACTGAAAAAGCAAATGATCTGCAAGTCCTAATAAGGAAAATCAACAGGCACAATGAAAAAGTAGAGCTAAGAATAAGTATGAAGACAAAATAATAGGTAAAGCCTTAAAAAATGCTCTCTGAGCTTGCTTGTTTTGATACAGGTGTTTCATTATCCAAACTAGGTAATATCATCAGACTAGCAATGATGATATCAAGTTTGGATAATGAAATGTCAGCAAAAAAACAAATTCAGACAGCACCAAAGACCCCTCATGTCAACCCTGAGCTACAAATATTCTCCTTTATTAAAGCCTTAGAAATGACAATAAAATTATTTAAGCAGTAGATAGTCTCTGTTCTTTATGAACAGCAATTAAGAAATATCCCCCAGGCAAGCATTTAGTAGGGTAGTAGTTGAAGGCTTTGGAAAAGATATTCAGACATGGAGTTTCTGTAGCCAAAAAAGATCAGAATCAGAACTAATGCAGGCAATGGGTTTCCCTGTGACCCACTATGGAAGTAAAAAATTGGCCTTTGAAGAAGCAAGATAACAAGATTGATGCTTCTAAACTTTGGTCTTGGAGGAAACTCCTGAGAATACCGCAGAAAATCAAGAAACCAAAACTGGATCAACGAACAAATCAACCCAGTCTTCTCCCTTGAGGCACAAATGACCAGACTCAAATTATCATATTTTGGACATGTTATGTGAAAACCTGGCTCTCTTGAAAGTCTGTGATGCTGAGAAAGGTGGAAGGAAAGAGGAGGAGAATCAGCAACAACACGAATAGCCTCAGTTTACAGTGGTGATGGGTACATCATTGGAAGACTCAAAAAGGAGCAGACAGGAGACAGATCATCTTGGAGAAAGTTTGTGCGGCTGTTAAGACACAGCAACAACTCGAATGCCCACAATCAATCGGCCTGCTTCCCAACCTACATATTTCTCATTCACTGGCTCATTTAGTAGATTTGCTGCTCATGAGATAGTGTCTCTCCCAGGGACTTACAGCCTAATAATAGATGAAATCTAGAAAGGTGGAGGTGGAAAAAATAAGTATTAGACTGTTCAATTATAAGTGACACTATTTGTTAGAGAGGATAATGGGCTCTTAGCAGGAGCTCACGACACATATGGAGTTCAAAGAGTTGCCTTCAAAGATCAACAATATGGCTCCAAATGAAACCGAAGCAGCAATTTATAGTTAAATTGATTACTCCTCACTTAATCATCTAATTTCTCAACAACCTTTGGAGAGAGGAGGGGTTGCATCCAGTGGTGGGATTCAAAATTTTTTACTACCAGTTCTGTGGGTGTGGTGTGGTGGGCGTGGCCATGTGACTGGATGGGCGTGGCTTTTTTTTTTTTTTTGGCTTTTTTGCAGCCCCCACACGTTTTTTGGGCCTTCTGGGCCTCAGAGAAGCCTCTAGGGGGGCGTTTTTGCTCCCTTAAGGCTCCTCTGAACCTCAGGAAGGCAAAAAATGGAGGGGGGGGCTGAGCCATTTTTTGCCTTCCTGGGCCTCAGCAAGGGGAATCCCGGCATAGCTGATCTATGTACAGCTGACTGTCGGGAGGGGACAAAAAGAAAGAAATACCTTAGATGAATGTCAGGTGGGTGGGGTGAGCGAGCATTGGGCGGGAGGGCAACCGGGGTCGGGGCTGTGGCCAGCCAGAACTTACTACCGGTTTGGTGACCCATGCCAAATTCTTGCTACCGGTTTGCCCGATCCGGTGTGAACCAGCTGAATACCACCACTGACACACACACACATGCACACACACACACACACACACAGCAGAAGTCTTTGGAGGAAAGACGGATCAGTCTGTGGTAGCCAAAATTCAGAAGAGGTCTAGTAGCATCTTTGAAGGTGAACACATTTTATCAAAAGGCAGATGCTTTCATAATCTGGAAAGGTGATTGCAGCCTCTTGAGTTACAGAAGAGGTGAAATCTCCAGATGTCAGGCTTGCCCCAGCTAGGTCCCTAGGAAAGAAAGACCCTCGATCCCATTTGAAGTGATAGGATTAATGGCTGCAAACAAAGCAGGCTAGAGCTAAAGTTCCTGCGCGAAAGACTACAAACTTCCTGGCCCTCCCTCCTGACTGGCTCATCTTCAACCGATGGCGTGCAGTATGGGTGTTTTGGGAACCGCTTGGATGTTTGGTGCAACTCACATTCATTTCCTAGGGTCTGTGTCCTTGAAGCCTACAACAGGCTGGCTCTTCACACCTCTGGTTTCTGTCAAGCCCCCCCCCCTTCCCTATTGATCCCTTAACACCTTATATGCCAATTGCCTATTTCCTCTCTCTCCCCACTTTCTAACTGATGGCAGAATGGCAGTGAAGCCAAAGATGGTAGATCTGACACCAGAGTTGGTTGTCTGGAATTGTTGCAATCCTAGTTTGAATTTGTGGCAGGGGGCACAGGGGTCAGGGACTGAGTATTGTACAAGACTTTGTGTGATTCTTTTGTGTGTGCATTCTTCTTTGGCTGACAGGGATTCTCTTAAAGTCAGATTGGTTTCCCTTTCAAGGAAATAGAGTTGTTTCTTTTCCTCTTCATCCGGCCGCCTGCCAAGGAAGGGACAGATCGTTCTTCCCA